CAACGAACATGACCTACCACTTGAAAACGGTAAATTGGCCCACTTGATATTCTTTCCGGCACATACACATTTCATGCGCTTTATTGGTGAACATTTAAGACTAAATTGTGAAATGTTAGCCATTAGCAATGTGTTCCTAGTCATTTATAGGCTACTTAGATACAGTTGAAGTGCATCTCATTACATCACGGGCAGTCACATCAGGTTAAAAGCAAATTTGAAGCTGAAGTCCACCAGTGTCTCAGAATAAGGAAAAAGGGATAATGTTAACTGAAGCTAGTCACCAAAGCCAGTCCGACTAGTCTAATCCATAAGAGAAATTTAGTGCCAGTTTACCAAATCAAACTTGTATTTTTTTGCATATTTATTAGCAGAATGCTTTCACATTAATTTTCATGTCGTGGAATATTAACCAGGCATACGTAGCCTGTTACATTTTCAGCATGATTTAATAGTTTATTTTGTGATGGCTCTCAAAAATGGTAAGTGGCCAGTTGGTCTCCAAGTAGGATGAGCTTTTACCCCACAGCCCTTTATGGGCTGATGGGGTATTGTTATACCCTGTGGCATCTGGGCGAGAGGGCGGGCGGGCGGATTGTGGCTCCACAATTTGTCCAGGCAATATCTCTGAAAGTAGTGGCCACAGGAGCTTCAAATTTGGTATGTAGGTTCTTTGTGATGGACAGGTGTGCAACGCAAGGGTCATTTGTGGATTTGACCTTTGACCTTGGCACAGTGACCGTGAACTCAAATTTTGTCCAGACCATATTTTCAAAAGAACTGACCACAGCAGCTTAAAATTTGATATGCAGATTCCTTGTGAGGCGAAGGTGTGCAACCCAAGGGTCTTCAGTGGATTTTACCTTTGACTTTGGCACACTGACCTGAGCCTTGCCATAAGTGTATGTCGCCATTTATTAATAATTAGTTTAGGGCTCTGGGGTTCTCGCGGCGCTCAGCGTCGGCTTGTTGAAGATAGAAAGCACTTTATATTCACTCAGCATTACAACTGACAAGCTGTGATTTGAGGCATTATGCAGGAATTTGTCCTATACCTTTTTTTTAAAAAAAAGTAATTTCCTTCAGTAGTCATTTTGTTTTTAAAACTATCTAAATATTGTTTGATTTTAAGCATACTACTACTGATTTAATTGCCATTGCTGTTTAAATTAATGTAGAAAAACATGGCATTTATTGAAGGTTCGTTGTTGGTATGGTCCGTCATGCTAGCAGTTTTGTTTGATAACGATTTAACACTACGAATTAAACCGTAAACCATTAAAAGCCCAAAGGAAAATAACTTTTTGAACCAACCCCATTACTCTTTAATATTATTTTCATTTTTATGTCTTTTGAGAGACAGTTGAGTCCATGTTACAGCCAAAGAAATTTTTGCAATGAGATTTTAAGTCCCGAGGACACAAACCAGGTGTATGAAATAAAACATGATATACGCACTAGAGCGCGTTATGGTTTGGTCAAATTAAAGCATCTGCCTAATGTGTGGTCATACTTCAACTTGAAGTGCGATGGCAAAATATGCCAGGGTAGCATGAAGAGTAAGCTCTGTACACAGATTAAAAATGTTTGACTAATTGATCAGAGAAAATGGCCGAATGTTGGTTTGTTTTAGGCGGGGACAGCCCAACTACTTAGCTAACCTAGCTTAGTTATCAAGTTAGTTTGCCAACACCATTTTAAAAGCAATGCCCGAGAATCACGGGCAACGTTAGCCAGCGGAAAAACTTGGGAGCCAATGAGCTAGGTAACTAACAAATCAATCTTGCCAACAAATCACAGACCCAGCCAGCAAGCCAGCTACCTAGAAAATTAGAACTCTGTTCTCAGTGACCAAGCCAAGTAGCGAAATAATAGCTATTCACAGGTCTTTTAATTTCTATGCACCTCGTTAGCTACCCAATACCATCAAGCCGTGTGCTAGGTTAGCTTTTTAGCAGTTTCCGCTGGTTTCCTGAGATGGCCAACAGCAGGAGAGCAATGCATCAGGTTTGTTTTCTCCAATTTCTCTGAACAACATCTGCCTAGTAAAGATCACAGACATTTGTTAAAACTGAGGCACCTGATTAGCTGAGAACGAATTAAGAACTATTCATGTGTTTGTGCGGATAAGAAGTTTCTAAAAATTGACTACAAACTTGGGAAACTTAATAGCATAACATTTAACTATCCATGAATTTGATGTGCCCACTTGTATCCATTTGTAAGGTTGTCTAAAAACAAAAATAATTATCATCTGTCAAAAATGTCAGCCATAGCTTTCAGACTGACCAGTTATACCAAAGTATAACTGTATACCAAGTATACGAAAATAACCGTGACACCAAAATACTGCCCAATGTGGGTGACGCAGAATAGACTTCTCAAACTTTTTACTATAAAACCAAATAATTTAGTCCCATTAGATGTCAATATGCAGGCTACAGCCCGCCAAAATAAAAATGTTTTTTGCTCACAAACAGTACAATAAGTGGTAATTGGTCAATATAGCACAAAATATTAACGTCTCCAATTCTTGTGTCGCAATCTCACGGCAAGCCTTCGAGATTAGCCAATGAGTCAGGGACTACTGTAGGGCAGTTCTGCCAATTAGTAAACCTATAGGTGGAATTTTCAAAATAGTGCCACACATCTCTGTAATACATCATTTTAAAGGTTTATAGCCCTATTTTTTCAAAATCAATGAGTAAACCTGGGTGGAAGATATTATATTAATATAAATATCAGTGTTTTTGAAAGATGAAATAAAGGAGTCCGGATATCCCTGACTGATGCATTTTTAAATAATTGTATCCCCCCCCATTCTAAGATTATCATTGTAGCAAATTTTTTGTCGGAGTGATTTTTACATAAGGCCCCTTGTATTTATTGTCTTAATAAAAAATCTGTTTGATTTATAATAGAAAGTTAATTTGCACACCAAGTATACACACTTTTCACATGTACATCCGACACCAAAAATGATTCTTTATAAGTGTCCGATCAATATGCCCGGTCAAAACAACTTGATATCCTGGATTTAATGTCTACATAATGTCTTTATTATAATGGACTAGTTTATTTTCATCAGGTATTTGCAACATGTTGGGAATACTGGTGTCAAATTCTGTACGTCCGACACCAGTTTCCAACAGTTTAAAGCTCATGGACACTGTAAATGGAAAAAAGAATAGTTATTACTTTCATACCACCAGTTCTGGAATTGGAGGAAAGCATTTCATAGGAATAGGAGTAGGAACTACCTGATCAGCTGCCATCTGGTAGCTGGCATGAAAACTACGAAGTGCGATTACATCATCTTTTTGCCACCACCTTTGTACTGGAGGGAAATTTGATTTTGAAGTTTGATTTTGGGGTTATACAGAGTTTAAGACATTGGACTTGAAAAAAGGTGAGTGCAAGAGAGTGAATGTGTCCAAATTATTGATTATAAATCATGGCATATGAACATCTGGTAGCTATGTGGAAATCTAGGTAATTTGGGGCTTCATGGCACGTCCTCCGATCGCGTATCACAACTTGGCTAGATTGCGGTACGGTAGTCAAAACGGGTGTACTGTTTTTTCTGTTACACATTTTTTGGTCACGTCTTTGCAGGGGAGTCTGATTTTGATGACGCAGTTCACACATTGACACACAAGTGCCATTTAGAATTTTTTGATTTGACAAACGGGAACAAACTGAATTTTTCCCGCAAACATTTTGTTGAATTTATGCTCATGAAAGCATTGATCGTTTTATTGAATGTAAGTATAAAAATAGGACCAAGGGTCTTGTAGCTTACCGACAAGCAGTCTTACGCGATGATACAAGTTACGAAAAATTCATGTGAAGTTTGACATTTGAATTAATGAAAATCAATGTCAAGATCGCCAAATAAAAGTTCATATACATTTATAAGACCTTCTGTAATACAATCCTAAGCTCTGACGCAGTTTTGGCGATACAAGTTACTGAAATATGTCAATATGTATTCAATATGTCAATTGTGAACTTTAACCCCTAAAGCCTGATGCCCCCGGTACCGGGGGTGGTGCTTACGCATGATAAATATAGCATGTTTCCAAATGGCAACATTGTCATGCGGCATATCCGCTTTATGCGAAGAAACTCGGCAAAAAGCTAATGTAGACCATTTTTACCTCAACCGAACACAATTCAAGCACCAAGCAAGTAAACAAGCATGTAGCAAAACATAGGATAAAATCATATCAGCGATGAGTCGCTAGAATTTCTCCTGAATTTTTGCTATGCATACAAACGATACCCCAAAAGAGGAAAGTTCCCAGAATCCAACGATATACGCACTGTCATTTTAAACTGACACCACGCTCAAAGAACAGCAGACATACACTTTACAGTCTACAGAAATGAGCAAAAAAAAAAAAAAAAAAAATTCTTACCTTTGATATTTTGTAATAAATTAAAAAAAAAAAAAAAAAAAAAAAAAAAAAAAAAAACTGTTTGAGGGTAAATCCATGCTTGCTATTGTAAGCTGAATGTGTCCGTGTTATAACAAAACTAGATCTGCCAGTATCCTAGCATTTTTTTCCCCTAGGGCATTGCTTCAAAGATCTCAGTTCCTCAGCATTCAGCTTGCTTGCAATGTATTTTCCTCTCTGTGATTGGCTTGTGATGCTGTCAGTAAGTCTTTGCCAGTAGCCATTTGGTTCTATGGGCTCTGACGTTTCCAACGAGCCCTAAACCAGCTTGATCGCACTAACCTAGCCCGAGAAAGATCCCTGCATTCCCAGTGCGTCAAACCGAGTCCATGGGCCATTCGAATGTACTTAAATAGTGCGACAATAAACGCTTAACAGGTTTGTTTGTGGTATTTTCGGTATAATTATCCACTAAATATTCAACTGCCATTTTCAAAGTCGTTTTTTGACAGAAAACGCGTAAATACTGAGGGCACAACAGTAAAAAGAAGGTGAGTGACCCGTGTTCTTGACTCATTCTTTATAAATTGCTTTTTGCACAAATTGATGTTGCCTAGTGGTTAAGATGCCGGATTGCAATGCAAGCGACCAGGGTTCGATCCCCAGTCAGATGAACTTTGAGGTAGCAAGGGTAGCGTTTTTCATGTATAAATAATTGATGGGGTTTTTGTTCTTTTTACTTTTTTCCCCCATTTTTAACCTTTCCGTTGTATTCATAATCTAATTTGCTTTTTTTTTTTAAAAAATAAAACTTCATTTTCTTTGCATTTATTGTCTTTGAATGGGAAATTGTAAAGGCTATAGGACCGGCAGAAATAATAATAAATTATAAATTATAAAAATTAAAAACTGGTTGTATTTGGGTGGACTGCATGCCTGTAGTGACATATAAGTGAAATTAGATGAGTTCTACAGTCTAATAGCTGAGAAATCTGATTTGGCACACAACGTACCTGAATTGCCAATTTGGAGAAGCCACCGAGACATTCCTCTCCAATTTTGTTCTGATTTACTTGATTAGAATAAACTTTGGCACAGATAATGGTGAGATTCTGTGCTGTAAATTTTTAGAGGTTTCAGAATGCAAGTAAATTAGTTCACAAGGAATAGAAATAAAACTTTGTTTGGTGCAAAATGAGATCTTTCATTTATACTGTGTTCCATCTTAATTTGACTCCGACTCATTGACAAATATACTGCTTTTTACACCACGGCAGGAATCCCAATTGGTTTTACCTTTATGATACCAAGATTATTCAAATGGACTAGATAATTACAGAGATATACTCATTTCATTTTGGGCTTGCCATTTTTGAAGAGGAGGCTCGGGGCTTAAGGGGTTAAAGGTCATAGAATGTCAAGTTGTGGTCAGCAAATGGACTTCAAAATATGACTTTCTACAACGTAAATTTCTCTATCCAAACCTTGGCTCAATCTGTGACCATTTTGGTGATACAAGTCATTGTAATTTCACTGTTGAGTTTGACCCTCAAAAGGTCACTGACAGTCAAGTTGAATGTCACCAAATGAAAGTTCATATGTGACTCCCTAGAAGTCAGTAACACAAACCTAGGCTCCATCTGTGACCATTTTAGTGATACAAGTCATTGAATTTTCACTTGGTCACATTTGACCTTTGAAGGTCAATACAAAGGTCACCAAATTAAAGTTTATATATCACTTCCTATGTGTCTCCAATACAAACCTAGACTCCATCTGTGACCATTTTGGCAAAACAAGTCATTGTAATTGTATTATACCAAGTTTGACCTTCAAATGTCACCAACAGTCAAGTTGAATGTCACCAAATGAAAGTTCATGTGTGACTTCCAATGTCAGTAACACAAACCTAGGCTCCATCTGTGACCTTTTCAGTGACAGAAGTCACTGAATTTTCTCTTAGTCAAGTTAGACCTTCAAAGGTCAATATGAAGGTCACCAAATGAAAATTCATACATGACTTCCAATGCATCTCCATTACAAACCTACACTCAATCTGTAACGATTTTGCTGATGTAAGTCATTGAAATTTCACAGTATAGTTTGGCCATTTAAGGTCACTGAAGGTCAAATTCAAGGTCACCCAATGAAACTTCATACATGACTTCCTATATTCCCACAATACAAACCTAACCTCTATCTGTAATAGTTTTGGTGATAGAAGTCATTGAAATTTCACCATGAAGTTTGACCTTCAAAGGTCACCAAAGGTCAAGTTCAAGGCCACCAAATGAAAGTTCATACATGACTTCCTATAAGTGTTCAATGCACATATGTTCCCAATCTTCAATATTTTCAAGGCTAGAAGCCTTTGAAATTTGTAACATTTTGCTTGACCTCAAGTTTGACCTTTCAAGGTCATCTGAGGTCAACTTTAACACAGCCAAAACATAGGGCATATGTAACTTCCTATATGTCAGTAACACAAACTTAATCTCCATTTGCAACCATTTAGCTTCCACAGGCAATTTGGCCCATTCTCCATAAGACCCAATGTTAAAGTACAGCGCCCCCACTAGACCCACTTCCGTCGATTCAATCAAAATGGCACTGTACACTGATAATAAAGTGTATCAAGGTGAACTGATTGCCAGATTTAGAAATAAAAGTTCAGTTTTTGAGAAATAATTTTTTGAAATTTCAAGGTCATATCTTTTAACATTGTTAATATATTCCCTGCCCTCGAGTTTGACCTTTCAAAGTCATCTGTGGTCAAATTTAATATTAACAAAATATAGGTCATATGACTTCCTATGTCGATAATACAAACTTAATCTCTATCTGCAGCCATTTGGCCTCCACAGGCCATCTTGCATATTCATAAAGTACAGCGCCCCCAATAGACCTACTTTTGTCGATTCAATCAAAATGGCGCTCGTGCTGCCGGATAGCTCACTCGGTAAAACATCGCATTGCGAAGCAGAAGTGACTATCATGTCGCGGGTTCGAACCCCGCTTCGTACTAGCAGGCAGTGGTCGGCAGCTTTTTCAGAATAGCGCACAATTGGCTATTGCGCTACAGGGTTGCAAATTGGGAAGGGACTGCCGGGAAGGGATTGCAATAGTTGCGTTGTTCGTTGCTCAAGCGCCTCCTGTTGGCCAGACGGGCGCTCGTCAGGAAGATTCTAAGCCTGGTCATGTCCGGGTATCCGCCGCCCTCGTTCTGAACTTGCGAAGATTCAACCAATGAGTGTATAAGAAGCGGTGGTTGACAGGCGTGCCGAGGAGGAGAGCCATAAACGGTCTACACTCTCCTGAATTGGCAGCAAGGGGGTCGACAATGAGCAAGCCTTGTACATAGTTCACCAATTGGGCATTCCAGATTCGGGTGGGATTGAGATGCCAAATTTAAAAAAAAAAAAAAAAAAAAAAAAAAAAAAAAAAAAAGGGCGCTCGTACTGTACATTGACAGTCCAAGGTAAGTTGATTGCCGGATTTAGAAAAAAATTTATCACACAGGTTTTGAGAAATAATTTAAAATTTCTCAGTCCCATCTTTAGCATTGGGGCCAAAATTTCAAGGGCCCATAAAACGGACAAAAATGTTTCAAAAATCCGAGAACAACGCCCCGAGATATGATCTAGTAGTATGTAATTGCAAATTAACACGAAAATTCATCTTGTGAGAAAAAAAAAAAAAAAAAAAAGAAAAAATGTTCCGGACGACGGACGCCACACCCCGACAATAGCTTATCGGCCCATAGGGCCAGTAAGCTAATAATTGAAATCTGTCATATTAATTTTTATCCATTTCCCCATCAGTGTGCTGACTGTGAGCGAATTGAGCGATTTATTGATCAAGTAGTGAGTGACGTTCAAGTCTCATCACAGCTCTCCTATCTAGGCTCTCTTTTCTGCTCATGTAAAAATAAAACTGTCTACTACCAGTAATATTACCAAAATGCAGGTTAACGCTCAACCCATTTCCAAGTGAGAATCAGGACATTGATTGAATTATTTTGTTGTGCAAAGTGTTACATATTCAATAGGACAAACTGAATGTTTGATACCAGTTATGTTTGATACCAGCAGTGTCATTTGTTGAGTTAACTTACTAATCAGCCGACTTGCCAAGGTTTGAAGTTGTGTTTTGTTCATTATACGGGGATTGAGTTGGCTTAAAATTACATTCAGACCCTGTACGTCCAACACCAAAAAAAGGTTTTTATACATTATTTTTTGGTCACCCACTCATAAATCCACCTGTAGTTTGAATGTGGTATTTTGTTCATAAAAGATAAGATAAAGTGTAAAATATGTTTGTTGGAGACGAGGATCCACTTCATGTAAAATTACCTTCTGACCTTGTACATCCGACACCAAAAATGGTTTGATGTGTTACTTTTTTAGTAACCTTACTCATAAACGTACTTGTAGAGGTTTGAAGTCATGGTATGTTGTTCATTTTATGTGATAAAGTTTAAAATATATTTGAGATGAAGATCCAGTTTGATTTTAAATTACATTCAGACGCTGTACATCCGACACTGTTTAGTGGTACATTACACGCTCATGATAAGAAGTATGGATTCCTTAATGGTATACTCAAAGATTACGTCTTGGGGAATCAGTCATGGATTAATAACTGGAAAAGGTTTAACCCCTTAGAGGGCACTGAGAAATACCCGAAGAAGCACAGTATAAAAAAGTACCGCGCGTTGGGCGTATGTCCATAAATAGTCTGACCATCACTTGCTCATGGCTTTGGTGAAAAGGGCGTATGATCAAACATGGCCTCACTGCCAAATTTTTTGTTTTTCATGCAAAATCTCACCAATTTCTAGAAATCCTGCACAAACAACGCCCATCTCAACTTTTAGCAAACCTTTTCAACTTTTTAATGTGTGAGTTTTCATCAGTTTTCTTTCGTGAGTTCTGATGTTAGGTCCTTGTGAGTGGGACTGGATAAGGGCACGCAAACGCACTGTGAGAGGTCTGGAGAAGAAAAGAAGTTTGAAACACTCTAGACCACTGCTGATTGGTCGAGCACCCTGATGTCACTGCCTGTGATATAGCCTGATTCTCTCTCATTGGCTGGGAGAAATCGCCGCTGGTCTACTGCCTCATGCAGAGGCATGGGGGCGCCACTTTGGATGCTGACTGAAGTTACCAAATATGGTTCCTCGCCCGATAAAGGGCTAAACACTTCAGAGATCCTAAAACGAATCACGTACATGTCATCAATGACAATTGTCTGAGTAAGTCCGACACAAAGGTATTTTGGAGCAACACCTTCTACACTATGATGAGGAGCAATACCCCTGCATACCAGATGATTGCCGTAACCAGGATGTGTCATCTGCCCAAACGACAGCTATTTCCTCACTTCACTGTGCTCTTAACTGGCCTATGAAGTGTCTGAAATGTACGTCCGACACCATGGAACTGCCCTGTACTAAAAGGAGGCATAAAATTGTATCGCCATCAAGTTGACCTTAGTACATTTCAGCTTACAAGTTAAAAGGTCAAACGCGAAGGTTCAAACATTTACAGTTAGGAATGTTGGTTTTCATATAAAAAGTTCTCTCCTCCGCTCCCATCCCCCTCCCTCACACATAGACCCTCATCCCAACATGAAATGAAAAGCACAACAACCTTAAGCAAATGACCTTTTA